AAAAAGGTGAGCATTTGTATTGCTAACATTTTTTCTTTAATTTCTTAAACAGAGAAATGGAGCAAACTGTATATCATAGGGGGAAACCCAAGGAGGTTAGAAGACAGAGAGGGCATGACGTCATCCTCGTAGCTCCCCTTTCTCACTCTCCCGCGCCAAACCAAACCAAACCTCAACTGGTGGTTGTACAGCCAATCACGAAAGAGCTTGTCGCAAGAAAACCCAGTGCATAACGTGACGACACAATAAAATTTCGCATCGTCCGCGCTCAACCAGTATGCGTGGCGATCGGTTCTTGTCTTCGCTGGAAACTCGGTGATTTTCGACGACCATAGTTATGTTCGTGATGAACGGAAGAAGGCAGAGAGTTAATAGTCTATTCAAATTGGAATAATAATCTATTCGCATCTCGTTAATTTTCTTAATTCCCATACATTCTTTTCTCCTGCTCAACATGGCTTTAGAAAACTGTTCCCTTCACGCGTCCCTCGATTGTTCATCTCAGGTTGACTGCATCTTTTAGGTCTCTCTAAAGCATTTGACAAGGCTTCACATAGGCTCCTTTTGTATAAACTCAGTAAACTGAACATTGACTCTCGTGTTTTGACTTGGATCAACGCTTTAACTAATCGTTCTCAATTTGTTCATGTTAATGGCATTAACTCGCACCCCTCTCCTGTGACTTCTGGTGTCCCCCAAGGTTCAGTACTCGGCCCGCTTTTGTTTTTAATATATATTAATGACCTTCCTTCGCATATCTCATTCTCAGTTGGTCTCTTCGCAGACGATTCTGTCATCTATTCTGAAGTAACTAACAATTTTGACGTTCTCGCACTCCACTCTGACCTTGACAGTATTTCTCGTTGGTGTGACAAATGGCAAATGGAACTCAATATTAAAAAGTGCAAATCCACGAGAGTATCACGTCAAAATAACACCTGTCCCTCGTACCATATATAAGAACTGTTGAGCTGGAATCCGTGTCCTCGTATAAATCTTGGTGTTCATATCACTAACAACCTTTCATGGAACATTCATATTGAATATACAATTAAAAACGTTAACCGCATGTTGGGCTTTCTAAAAAGGAACTTCTCTCTTGCCCCACTGTCCTTAAAACTACTTCTTTACAAATCATTGGTCCGCAGTAAACTTGAGTATTCTGCCGCTATCTGGGACCCCGGTGTAACCCTTGCATTATCATTAGAAGCTGCTCAAAACCGTTCTGTTCGATTCATGCTACATAACTATCATCGCACATCTAGTGTAACAGCAATGAAAACTACCCAAAGCTTGCCTGACCTCTCCCTACGCAGAAAAATATCTCGTCTATGTTTATTTCATAAAATTTACCACCATAAGGCAAATCTTCAACGTAATTTGAAATATTCCCGTCGTGTTCAAAAATGGGTTGAATATGATCCACAATATCCGCAAATGACAATCGCACGTCTGTATTTTGAGCCTGGTGACTGTATTTTTCGTTATAAACGGCCCACTCTGGCAAGCGCTCGGAGAAGGCCCAGCGGAGACCACGTGACATCCAACGGAATCGTGACGTAGGTCGTCTCGGGACGAGCAAAGCTACGGCGAGGCTGACGTCGACAGGATGGTTGTTCCAGCCACCGAAGCGGGTATACTTTTGTACGAATTTTGAGTGACGGGTTAATCTTATATAATTTTGTAGGGGGACAATAGCGACTTCTGGCGACACACAAAAGGCATTCTCGGGAAGAGGCCGGAGGCGAGGCACTCACCGTCATAGCTGTCGAGGTTCCTAGACGGGCATTACAAGCGAGGCGCTAGCGACCTCCACCAGGTGCTCTTTGCTAATCGTTTAATTCGTTTTAAAATTCCTTTTTGAGACTTTTTTAGCAAGATATTGGTATGTTCGATGTGATACTGCTCCTTTGAACACATATAGACCAAAAAATGAGCGCCGAATTTTCGTTGTAGTATCCCTTTAACACAACCATCAAACGTGTCATCACGTTTCGACCATCAAAATAAAGTTGGCATCCCTCAGTGTCGCACCTCAAGCTTTCATCAGTCTTTCGTACCCATGACATTACTGGGCTGGAATCGCCTTTCTGCACCTGTTGTCAGCATAGCCGAGAGTGCCGCGGATTAAAAGCTGCACTTTGCGATTTTTTTTTTTTTTTTTGTATTTTGGTTGAGTGTTTTATTTTAACAATGTTCTGTTTTTTTTTATGCTTACCTGCCTAATTAGTGTTTGTCTTTGTGTGCAATTATGTGTATGACCCCCCCCCCCCCCCCCCCCCTATAATGCCTTCGGGCCCCGAGGGAATAAATAAATAAATTAATAGGTGCGCTGTTGGACACTCGCCCAAAGCCAGACCGCGATGAGTTTGCTCGTGTACGTCGGCCGATGCTCGCGCATCGTAATTGAAGAAAAACATCGAGCGCCGATCGTGTGTGTCCTCACGAACGCACGCAAAGTGACTTCAAGGGGGATGGGTCTACCCCTCCGGGGACGTGATGTCTGCTGGTCGGTTCTTTTGTCTTGGTATTTGGGACACTCCCACAGAAGGTGGTGAATGTCGGTCTTTGGATGTCCGTCGCATTGTGTGCTGAGGCCTGATCTTTTACCTCTACTCCATGATGCGACCTGTGCTGGTGTGAGTGCCGTGTTGGTCCGGACTCTGGTAAGGAGAACTTACCCTCGCCTTCCGAACCCTCGGTGAGCGAGTTCGGGGAATGGCGGCTCGGGTAGTTCGATCCTCGTCGAGTTCTGCCAGATAACGAAAATATTCCCCGGAGAAGGGAAACGGCCGGAGGCAAGGGGCAAACATAAATCTCCAAACACAGCTAGGGGACTGGTGCGCGACCGAAAAAATTCGCCTGGTCCTGATATCGAACCAGAGACCTCTCAATTTCCAGTGGAGCGCTCTACCAACTGAGCTAACAAGGATTTTTTTTTCTTTCATTATTCAACTGAGTTAACAAGGAGTTAGACGTCAGCATAGCAAATGGGTTTTTTCAGCTGCCACCAGACTAAGACCAAAAAGAGTTAACGGCCTGTATTTTAAGGTCTAACGTCAAAATAGTAAACGGCAACGGCGACAGATTGCACCCAACCATATAAACCGTTAAAAAAATATATATATATATTTCTGTTTTATGTTCGAAGCCTACCTCCTTCCACAGCGTTGCTCTATTTATGTTGTCATGTGATCCATTCGAGTAGATCTGGAACAATACATAGATAATCGTGCATAATAGCAACCACAGATTTTTTTTTTTTTTTATTGATTGCAACTTACCGGAACAGCTGGGCGATCCAGAAGACATCTACGCGCGACACAGCTTCAAAACTTCGCCAGGGCGTCGATTCTTGATAAGTGTCCAAGCATGCGAAGGCACGGAGGAGACGCAGCTCTTCGGCGTGCCAAGGAACGTTTGATAACGCCGCGACGCCGCGATACCGGCGATTAGATTGGATTGGAACAAATTTTATTTGTGCCTGCAGTCCGCGTTCGACGAGTTGTGCCATTTTCCTGCGGTGCTGCGGTTTTGTAAAAATTTACGTGTATTCTCAAAGGCAAAAATCTCACCGTTAGCACAAGGTTTAAAAAAAAAAAAAAAAAACACGTATTCGGCGAATGACGACGAACGAGCAGAAGTGTCTTCCGCCCGCTGCCGCCCAGCCTCCATAACACGAGCGTTTCGCCGCAGTAAGGTTGCAACGCCTATTGGCTGAAAGAAAAAAGCAAAAACAAGCAAAAGCAACACAAACCGGAAGTGACGAAAGTTTTTGTTTTGTTTGTTTTTGCTTGTTTCCATTTTATTTTTTGTTTTTACTTTTTGTTTCTCCAAGTGTTTGTTGGGTGCTCTTGGAGCGGTCGCGTCGGTTCCAACGGTCTTTCTTGTATTATACGTTGTCGTGTTATGTGCCGCCGTATTGCCGAGTGGAGTTGGTCGTGATATTCAACGCTTGGGAACGAGCGTCGGCAGTGAAGTTCACAGCGCATTCATGCAAGCTAGCAGGCCCCGTCTCGCCACATGGAGGCCCGTGGGACGCTTGTTCGGAACGTAAAAGGTGAGTGGAATTTACCTACTCTGGTGGCGTTCGATCGTCGATTCGACACCGCAGTGGGTGAATTTGATAGCGCTTGGCTACCTCACGTAGCGTCGGGGACAAAGAAGATAGTAGAGATAACCAACGGGAGTGACATGTGGCTCCCGGGTGCCGCCTGCGCCGCATTTGCATTCAGTAATCGCACTTAAAGAAGGACCAAGCGCGTTGGGAATGTCGGCTTTTGACGAGCTCGTGCAGTCACAAAAGCGTTCTGTCGAAAGACCGGATTTACAAACAGGTCAGGCTTCGCCAATGGCCCTCCCGGCGCGTCGAATTTGTGGCGGGTAATAATGTTACTGTTCATCCTGGTAGGCCTGCGATGGTGTTTTCTGCACAAATGCTGTATTCTGCCTCGTGGTACATTCACACCTGCAGCAGAACTGCTAAGCGATTCTGCTACAGGTTAATCGCGAAGAGTTGTGCTCTTCCATAATGTGCATGTTAAAGTGACAACAAATAAGTGCCTCTCTGTTCTACTTCTCCTTTGGTATTCAACTGGTTGTATTTTCTACTACATTTTGTTCAGACAGCCACTGCGAGACAGGCATTATACTATACTATCCAAAATAATGCTTGAGCATGAGACGAGGTAACAGAAATACTTCTATATGTGCCTGCTTTTTGTGTTTTTGCAAGACAAGGTTTTATGTGCCTGCTTTTTATGTTTTTGCAATTCACTGGCTAGACCACTCTTCTCATGGTTATTGTTTTGTTGGGTGCAAAATTTTCCACCCCAGGTGTCTGATGCTTGCGGCTGATGGCTTCTACCTACGTGCATCAAACAGCGGGCCTGCACCTTCGCCGAGACAGCAGTAAAACAGTTCTGGGTAACTGCAGCGACTGGGTCACCGATGCCGTTCCACTTCCTGCACTGCACTCCGCGTGGGTCAAAGGGCCAGTGCATGCCTTTTATGGGTTGTCGCCAGCCATAGTGAGTATGGCTTGGAGTCACGTCATGCGAGTGAAATGCTTGTCACCTGAGTGACGTCAGTGGGGGGTTGCCACCACCGCCGTTGGTGGGGCTATGATGGTGGTTTGCGATCACAGACCACCAAGCACCATTGCACTGTTCCTGGATGAACTAGCCGCTCTTGAGGAAGAACAGGGTGCTTTGGGAAGAGCTATGGTGTCCGCTTTTTCACTAGCTCCAGCTGTCGCCACAGACATTTTGTCGAAAGGAGCAACATGTATGAATGAGTAGACGGCGCTGAATGGCCGCAAGGGGCCTCGCTTCTGATCGAGGGGTTCAAGATAGTTCTGTTTCAACAGAGCTACCTCTTGGGGTATTGTACAACACAGGAAATAAAGGGCCCAAAAGTTTTTTACCTTGACGAGGTGTGGGTTATGGCAGGACCAATTTTCTCAAAGGTGCGAGTAGACACAAATGCGGCTTTGTTCCGTGGACACCTTCATGTTTGGTGGCACGAGGCAGTCATTGCTTAACCCTGCTTAAAGATCAACGACTGGACTGGTCAAGGGTGGCATGCCTGAGAGTGGGACAGTAGACAGCTGTTATATATCAACTTTAGACTTCATTCACCCCTTGAAGGGGCCCTGCAACAACATTTTGACTGATTTTTAATTTGCACCGATCCTGAGCACACTGAACGTAGAAACTTAATGAACCTTTTCTTTTCTCAAATTTCGCTTTATTTTAAAAGTTATAGGCAAATTAGAATTACAAAAACAAGCAAGAAATAACCTCCTTCATGACGTCGTAGGTCCTGGCTTGAGTGGCCGTGAACTAGACGAGGGATAGTGAGGTCAGCGAGTGCTCACGGCTGCCGCACTCCGTGTCGACGGCTCGAGGGCGCGCCACTAAAGCACGTGTTGGATAGGCTGTATGGAGCGGGCAGTGAGGGCGGCTCGCATTGCATTTGCTGCACGATTAAAGACTAGTTGGGCATAACACTTCATAGGCCACAAACGACAGCAAACAAGGGGTAAATATCAGTTCAGAACGGGAGCCACTTCGCGCTGCCATACCGCCAAATGGCAAAATCTCCAGCTGTTATATACCAACTTTAGACTTCATTCACCCCTTAACTGACAGGGCACTGAAGGCTACATGCTCGGTGAACCAGCCGATTGTCAGTCTTGCATCACTTATCACGCCCCTTTCTCATACAGATGTGCAGGTCGGACATGAGGCAATAATAGCTTGGCCCACCAACCACATGGCTTCTACCACCCTGTCAGCGTAGGGGTGAATGGAGCATAGGGGCAGCAGAGTTGGTGGGGTCTGCTGAGTGCTTCTGGCGTAGCAGTTCGGCAGTGGTGAGTTACTAGAGCACAAAATGCAATACCGCACTTTACTCTGAATGTTGCGAGCCATCGGAGCCAATCCAGTGCCGAAGGTGTGTCACGTGGCCTGTCTGTTGGGCGCAACGGCACGTCGAGCACAGTGTCATCTGGCAGCGACAAAGAGTTGGATTGGCTCCGGTGGCTCGTATAGTCGGCTGTGGTACAACACAAGGTGAAACGGAGTAGAATGTGATGGCTTGTCGCATCACAGAAGGTGAGCAAATTAAACAGATAAAGGTTTGATTTTTAGAGTGCCTATTTTAGGTTTTTGTTGCCCTCTTTCGGTGTCCTTAAAGGGGCCCTTCATAGCTTTCTGCGATCGTCTGTTTATGTTATATTGCGTAGTAGGTGCAAGTTAATATGTATCCAAAGTTTTAGATTACAAAACCGTTTATTAAGCAGATGGCAGAAGAAATATATCGGGACTATTTTCTCTTGGAAGACAATCCCCCATTCCCTGCCCATCACTAAAACTTGACCAATGGAAATGCTGCATCTCGGGGTGAATGCGAACATTATTATTGCAACACTTTTTAAGCTTGTTTTAAATTAGAGTTTGAGAAAAACGTAAACTGGTTGTGGTGCAGGAAACATAGTCCGCAATTATCGCTCCAAAACCAGCGAACTATGTTTTCTCCCCGCAAGCTTCTTGCTAGGGGGTGATGCGTCGGCTCGTCTGCTTCCCGGGGCGTCTGCAGGCGTGCGTTTGCGGGACACGTGTTCCTTCTTCCCATGGATCCCGACTCCGAAGCCAGCTTTGCGATCCTTCCACGTCAACGAGTCAAACTTTTCCTTGTCATCTGTGCAATGCGACTGCGTATTGCAGCAGCAGCGCGACAGTGCGGTGCGACGAACGACGACTGCTGAGCACTAAGTCCGGGCTCCTTGACGACGACGGTCCGCACGTGTTCGAGAGATTCCTCCGCGGATCGGCGGTCGGCCGCGTTGGTGACGCGCAGAGACGCCAGAATCCTTCGCTTGCTATTGGCTGACGCATAAAGAGATGCCCCTCCCGTTTTCCGGGGTCATCTCAGAAAGGGGGGCGTTCCGGGGACTTTGATAGCTACTTTAATAGGGAAATCCGCCACGCATGACCGTAATTTTATGATTTTTAGGATCCTTAGGGCCTGTAGATTGAGTTACCACCATAAACAGACCATCGCAGAACGCTCCGGAGGGCCCCTTTAAGAGCCCAAAGACCTGCCCATCCCGACATTTGTAGTCCCTATATTTCCGGACTTGAGTGACTGCACGACCGAGGACCAAATCAAACTGTTCCAGATCCTAAATATAGGTCTACACCCTTTTCAGTAAAAAGTTTGAGGGGAATAAAGCTATTGGTGCAGGTCCGTGACTCTGGTGGGAACTCTCGCTCATACAGCTGAATCACATTCAAAATGAGGAAGTTTCACCCTTTTCTCAACGACGGGCTGTTTTTGGCACAGTTGTTTGACTGGCTGCTAACACAGAAGCACAGTTTTTCAGCTTGGCAAACACCATGGCAGAGACTCAATGCTGGACATGGAATTTCATTCCAACTCTAGTAGCACTACAAGCAGCAAAGGTAGCCCTAGGATTACACTTGCAAAAGTTCTTCGACAGAATGTGTCCAGGACGTTGGTGCTTGAGGGCATCCAAGCGTTCAGGGGCACGAGTCACTATACCGTCACTTGACGAGGAGTCAAACAAGCTCTTGTTGATTGCACCACGATTCTGATCAAAGCAAGTTGCGCTGCCTCTCCACAGTCCTGCACTTTTTAAAAATTATGTCTGGATTCTCGAGGGTAATAGCTTGCATTTTTAACAAGTGTCACAGAGATTTCTGGACAAGCGGCGATAATCAAGAATGAAACGTGCCCTACAGCTAGCTAGCTTCGAGAGTGTTGCACATCGCAGTGTCAAATGAAACGGCAATATCAGTCAACAAGACCGAGTACCGCTTTACGACGAGACTGAGCCCGCCACCAAGTTCGCACCCATCCAACATAGCGTGAAACTGGCAAACAATATTCTAACCCTAAAATTAACTTGGGCTGTTCGTACAGAAGGAGCACACTTCAGAGAAAGCGTTGTGTGGGCATCCTTTTGTTCCGCAAGGCGTGCCTAGCCTTCAAATTTCTTGCGTTTGCTCTGATCAAGCTTTTGCGCAAACAGTTTTTTTCCAGTGTATCGTTTAACAAAAAGTTACAGCTGTTTTGTACTGAGCTTGTGACAGGAACTAATGCCATCTGTAAATATCTCTTACAGCCGAGCTGTTTGAAGTCATTACAGATATAAACTGCTTGTTGCAGCAACTCACAATCGCATTCCTGCCCGTCATGTCGAACAGCGGAGCGCTAATTTCAGTTTGAGGTCTGCACTCTTACTACAATGCAAATGGTGACAGCATCAGGCTGCACTCTGTAAGTTAGATTGAGACCGGTTCTTCATGCGGCACTCCACGAGTGCGGTGCACTCTGGGAGATGACTCGCATAATGCCAGTGCGTTTGAAACGAGCTTGCTATAAGGCCCACTACTCATGGGATAAGTTACTCATATAGTTTTTGGGCAGCTGATGAGTTATTCCCCCCTCCGCAGCGACACCCATTGCTGGGTTTGGGTACGACTTGAAACCGACGAGCAGCTCTGACAACTCTAAGGTGTTTGAAGCGGCAGGAGCAGTTCAGGGACACAATATTTCCACGTGACCTCCCTTGCAGTAGTGGTGATGGTGCGTTCAGTAGCGGCTCCGAACGGAGTAACTCGAGTTGGAGTTCTCGGTGCACCTACTGAACGTCAAAACAAGCGCAGCTCTTCAGCAGCTGAGCACGATTGCTTTATTTGACGGCTGTATTGAAGAAGTCTCAATAATTTTGTTAATGGAAAAGTGAGTGTCTGTTGTGGGAGCCACTGGTTTCCCTCCCACAAGGGGACGTAAGGTGCGGACATGCAGACATTCCTTCTGGAGTCGTCTGGCTTTAAGCGTGCTCGTTCCGAATCGTGTCGGGGAGAGTATGCCACCCTGCTGGCCTATTCTCGCACTCCTCCGCACGTCTCCCATTTTCGGGGGACCTGCGAGATCGTGTGGGACGGTCTTCTGAATTGACGGTCGTCTGGCGATTAGTCCTGAAGTGTGCTACGGGCGATGGGTCAAGTGCGAAGAGATCCTATGAGTGCTGTGCAATTTAGAACACCTTTAAAAAATCCCAAAGAAAGCTGCTTTTTTTTTTTTGTGGATGTCATGTCTGTTGGATTTTTCACTAGCCACTGTTGTTAAACTTCCAGAACTCTATGTGCCAAGAAATTGAGAGAGGAGGGGATGAGGGTGCAGGAATGTTAAAACGCAGAGCTCCGATTGGAACGATCAGTGGGTAAACCTAAAGCTAACTGCCTTTGTCTGTACTGCACGTGCAGAACGTCAGTGTCCAGCGTTTCGCATTTGCATTCAAATGCGTTTGACGAGTGCAGTGGGGATAAAGGCAGCCTTTGTTTCTGCTGCACTCGTTGAACACGTTCGACTACAGAACGCGGGCGTCCAGTGTTTGGCTCTCGCATTCAAACGTCCTCGACGAGTGCAGTGGAGACAAAGGCAGCTAGCTTTAGGTGTACCCACCAATCCTTCTAACCAGAGCTCGGGTGTACTGACGTCCCCGCCTGCTCTCTTCCACTCTTCTCCCTCATTTTCTTGGCACATGCATCATGGGCAGGTTTTAAGGGTGGGGGGACTAGGGCCCCCAGGTTAACTTTTTTCAGTGAAAAATCTACATATGCCAGCTTTTGTTAGGAAGAAATGATTAGTGGCTTCCATCCATACTCGAGAACCGAACTAAACGCAATAGACTACTTCCATAAATTCCTGCATGCAACACGGCACGCGTTGCACTCTGGGAACTAGTTAGCCAGGGAGGAGAGTGGCATGGTTTCGATCGATACGTCGACAAGAGATTATACACGAAGTGTGGACTATAAACGGCCGTTATTTCATGTTTTCTGGTCCCGAGAACGCCATTTGTGGTCTTTAAACTAACCTAAATGGCCAGACCTCGAAGCTTTAGCACAAGCCTGAGATGTATAGATGCTTGTTGTATTTTTGTACTTGAGCCTTTTTGTTAGCGTTTCGAGGTATGTGGACGAGCCAGTGCTGGGAAGCTCGACACTGTGAAGCTGGGGGGTCTTGCTTGTGTACGAATCAACAAGCTGTAGCAACCAATAAGTATGCATACATCGAGCTCGCGCCTTTACATTAGTGTTGTTGATCAGAAAGTTTTTTTTTTTTTTTTTTTTTTTTTTGTGCATTCATAGACGAAATACAACTTTTTGCAATTACTCTTTTTTTTAATGCGCCTGAGTATGCGAAGTAAAACTCGGACGCGCCATTGAAAAGCTCCATTCGAACACACTTCTCATCTCTTATCTGTACTGCCCCGCAGCTCTGCACGAAGTGAAATCCCCGCCCGCTCCCCTTCCACTAATATTCAACATCGCGTATGCTCATAAAGTTATCCTGCAATAATATAGGTACATTCGCACATACAAAAAAAGAAAGCAGAAGTCGAGCACTTGTGTGAACAATGTTGCACCGTTCACTGGAAGTGCACTGGACGGGCATGAATTCTGCGGTGCGCCGAACGAACGAAATTATTCAAAGCGCATTTGACGGTTGCTAATGGCCATAATATTTATGTGTTTGCTTTCTTCCTGACTGAGTATGCCGAGATAATTTCAGACACACCGTTCAGGCACAGATCTTGGGCGTTAGTAAAAGCTTGTCCAAGAAGGCTTAGTGAGGAGTAGGGGGCGCTTGTTAGGGCCTCCGTCGTAGCTAGCCGATCTTAGCGTTTGCGAAAATTTAATCTTCTATCAGTTTAAAATTCGTGTGTGAGATGTGAGATATGTGATGACATGAGGAAGACATCATAGTAACTTTTGTGCAGTAGTGAGGTTGAATTTATTGTGTTTCCTTAAAAGTTAATGCGCCAACGGTGGGCTCAACTTCGATACTCCTGTGAGGATGTGGCTTGCTTTTCGCCCAATGAAGTAACAAGGAGCAGACGTTTGGCTCACAAAATACGTGTAAGGCTCAAGGTGACAAAATTTCAGTTCTAGTGCGCTGGTACTAACTAGACGGGATTACGGAAATTGAGCTCAAAGATGCACTCGTGGGGTGAGGTCACTAAGCCACGTCTTACTACGTTTGCATACGCACGCATAATATCCAGTGTTTTTGGAACCAAGGAAAGTGCCCAGTCTTCGTTTTGTATCACTTGAGAATGAGTGTATTGTTCATTCGTAAAATATTCAGATAATCGAAAACGCGAGCAGCATATTCGGTCGCGACGTGATAGCATGAGATGAAGCTGCTCAGTGGAAACCAAAACTAAGTGGCCAACTAGTTCCCAGAGGGCACTGCGTGGTATTTTGCCGCGATGGGGCGCGTCAGTTTTGGAAGAAGTCTGTTGCAACGCCGCCCTTTCTCCCACAGCAGCTACTAAGGAAACTCCACGGCTACACTTAGTGGTTCCGTCGAGTCGCAGAAGAGCCAGTGGCACTAAAGTTCCTGTATAGGCTCCCTACGGGAGCCGGAGTTGCGTGTTCATCCCCGTAGCGCCGTCTTTCCTTCACGGCATATGGAGCCTGCTCCTGATGTGACTGAATTCGGCGAATGGCAGCACGGTGCGCTCAACGTATGCCAGGATGCGTGCAATGTGTACTTTCGTGCACGGCATTTGAGTCTGCTCTTCACATGATCGCATCTCGGTGAGTAGCGGTGCGGCGGTACGTGGAAAACAGTCATGCAACTATGGCTCCTGTAAAGAGCCTATACAGGAACTCTACGTGGCGCCATCTCGCAGGGCCATTTTGCATTAGCTAAATAAAACAACTTGCATGTCTTAATTCGTCGCAAAAGGGTGGCGCTGTTATCGTATTTAGTTTCGTCTCGGTGAACGCCAGCGGTCCAGGTTCCAAGAGTGAGTTTTCCAACTGAGCGTTTTAGTAACGGTGTTTAGTGACATAACAAATATTAGGTTAACAAAACAGATCTGGGCAACATTTTGCCCATGATATCATCTCCCTTCCCCCCCAGGCTGACCCATAAATTTGCCCCTGCTCTGCATTGCCCTGCATGTTCGGGTCAGATATTGGTTCCTGTTGACCTGATGGACTCCTTTGTTCTCTGCATTCGTCATAGGTTACAGTCGTGAATCATGGACCAAGATTGCACTCTTAGGCCCACTCCTTTTTGGTGGATCGGGTCTTGCCATCTTCACCTTTCGTGGCTTCCTGTCGTAATTAAATAAATTGTCATATTTTTTTCTGATGGTGGTGCATACCTCTTGCCACACTTGACAGAAATAGTGTGGTGAATCCATGCCACGGATTACTGCGAAACATGAGAGAAGGTAATTATTGAGAAGATTAAGCTCCGAAAAGTTTGATGGAAAGACGATAGATATACCCCGTTTAATATTTCTGGCCACTTTAAGCATGCTATCCCCTAAGTATTTCAGCCTATCATTGCATCGGCTTTTGACCATTCACACTTGCAAGGAAAGGCTATCAGCAAGGGTTTCCAAGTCTGTTCTGTTTGCATTTAATTACTGAAACAAGGTTTATAGACATTACCAAGTGTATTTCGGCACAACTAAATGTTCAAACTTTAGGCTATTTTGTTGCCATGATTTTAGTTTCTGCTAAGATGAATATGTGTTCCTTACATTAATTAAAGGGCAACTCCGCTCAATTCCGAAAAATTTAGGCTTCCATGTGATTCACATTCACAAAGCACTACTAAACAACTCTACGTCTTCGGATTCGCGAAATGTGGAATATTATTTGTGTAATCCTAATTTAAACGTCAGCAGATACCGAAACCGAAACTTCGGTTGCGTCAGGCAACATCGGCCTCGGGTCGTCAAAGGCATGCGCGTCACGTCGAACCACGTGGTCTTGTGACGTTCGGGAGGGAGCGAGAAACAGGACACACGACGCGGGCAGGTTTTTTTTTTTTTTTTTTTTTATTGGACGCGGGAAGGTCGCTTCGCGTGGCGTGGACGGTGATGGCCTGGGTGAGAGGGGGAAGGGAAAAGACGAAAGAGAAGTGGAGCGGAGAAACAGACCGATAAGCGCGCAGGGCAGCGCAAAGTAGCGCATCCGTGTTACGGTGATCACGTGAACGCCCGGTCAGCCAACACCGGGAGGAGAAACTCATGACGTCATCGTTGCATTTCGCTCTGAGAAATAAAAACAAGCAAAACGTGAGAATGACGTACATGCCTCTGACGTAGTGGCTCAACGTTGGCCGCTCCAACTCCGTGGCATTGACTGCGCTGATGATTGCGCCTCGCGCCGCACGCTAGAGTTGGCAGATTTCGGCGACTTGGCTCGCTTGAAGGTTTGCCGGCCAGTTTATTAAATAAATAAACGGAATTAGATCGTAATATTTGACGTGGGGTCTTCCTATATGATACTGAAGAGGGCTACATAGTTTTCTAAATATCAAAAATGAAGCGGAGTTGCCCTTTAAAACAAGAATACGAAAAAAAGTGATTACATTTGTCCTCGAAGTTTTTACAGAAGACTCATCGCTATCACCATCACTATTTTGATTTTTCCAAGATGGCCGTTTTGTTTCGTGAACGTTCTGTGACTTCGGCGATTTACGCGACTTACGAACAGCACTGCCTAATTGGTAGGTTAATTTTGGTGGCTATTTATCGTGTAATATCGTGGGTATCTTGTGTTTATACAGGAAGTAGTATTTCAGGTTCAGATTGTTCTTCGTACAGCGTTAGCTCGAGCTCGGTGGGTCGTCTCCTCTGAACTGCTTGCCTTTTGTCTACGTTTCTTTCCTTCCCAAACCCATCACACTTTCTGGTTAATTTTCCTGTTTTCAATACCTGCTATTTTGCTAGCAAATATCCAGAAACGTAGGTACCATGCAGCTCTACCTGCACTATTCTTTTTATGTTGCGCAATTGCAAGAACCGCTTTTGTTTTGCCGAAGCAAGACGGTAATGGTGCTGGTAGTTAAATATTTATTTATTTGCTTGTCTGCTCGGCAGTGCCGCCTGTACCTGGACAATACCTTGGAAGATAATGCAAATACGGAGACAAAGCTGTACAGTGGTTATACTCTGCATCTGCACTCTGAATAACGTGATGTCTCGGTAACCACGCACGCTTTGTTAGAGAAATTTGTTTCGCTACCTGCTAGGCATTACTGAGGTGCTTTAGCTGTGTGCCTTTATTTTATGCTAAAAGAATGTACTGCACCTACAACAAGCAGTTGTAGAGAAGCACCGTTTAGTGAATCCATTCGATTGTTGTAAGCAAATCTGAAAGACGCTAAAGGCTACCGCACGATTCAGTGAGGCTTGTTGACCTATACTTTGAGCACCCACTCCTCTTTGTTAGGCCCTAAACCAGGCAGAACGTAAAATTATTATTGTGAAAACAGCAGGGTTGTGACTTGCACGAAAACTTGTCTATCATACTCTGAAATGCTGGCCGCCCAAGCGACCGACTTGCTGACTGACCGGCTCGGCTTTGTCATTGGCGAAGGCGGAACAAGCAAATGCTAGAGCATGCAGCCAAGTTCAGTGGATTGCGTATTTCTAAAAACAAATTTTCTAAAAGGTTGTTTGTCACCATTTTCTCTTAAAGGGCAACTCCGGCCAAAACTCAAAATGAAATAAATTACTGGTATCGCTGTAGTGACACAAAATACGACCCCAGCCAAAATATTACGTCCGTGGGACGCCGCATTCTCAACTAATGCTGATGATAAATATGCGACCCACCGCGAGCCGCTGCTCCTTAGCGGGCGGCCGATCGCTTAAGCAACATTGGGCCGTGACGTCAGTATCATTCTTTTTTTTCTCCGGTCCAGGCGTTCCGCGGAGTGCGCTTCTCTGAGCTGCTACCACCGCTACTTTGGCTTGTGATTGGCGTGTTTAGCTGTTGCTTTTATCTGTAGCCCATGTAGCTTCGGTATAGCCTTTTGTTTATTTGCTTGCGAGAACTCCAAGACTCGTTTTAGCGAGCAACTCGGTGCGCCCAAGACTGCCCAGCTGTTCCTCGAAAGATGCCGAGTGCAACTTGCAGCGCTGTGGGATGCTCAAACAACCCGCTGCGCAGCACGGAGGTGCTTTTTCACAAGTTTCCAACGGACCGGAAATTGGAGAAGGTGTGGGTGAACGCTGTTCGGCAAGTGGACTTTGGACTCCGGCTTTTACACGCCTGAGGAAAAAAAAGAAAATATAGACGCGTACAGCCCAGCACACGTGTGTTCGGGCTTTGAGGCTTCGTGTCTCGAACTGACCCGCCACGCGAAAGCGAGGGGGCCTCCAGTACTGTACGTCACTGGCAGCGCAGCGTAGACCAACGCCGCTCCATCCACGGAGCCCTGATGACAATTTAGGCCTAGCGACGAGTATGCAAGACCGCACACACGGCAAAAGCCGCCGAGTACGGCACCGTACGAGTTCACGGGTTTTCTAGTCGCTAGCTTTTGGGTATATGCACTAACTCTTGCTAACTATGCTGGATAACTACCACGTACACAGAATTAAAACAAAATCAGCTTACTTCCTATCCTTAGACGGCTAGCGCAACAGAGGTAGGTGCCGCTCGGCCTGTGTACTCGTTGATTGAGAACGATCGTGACGTCACGTTCACATAGCGGCTGATTTCCAGTGTTGCCGGGGCCTCTAGCGGCTAGTTTCGGTTTTGTTGGCCGCGCCCCAAACAAAACTTTCAGGTGTCGATATCTTTAAAACTACGCACAATAACGAGAAAAAAATTACACCTTGCAATTCAGGGTTGCTGACTGCATTAAAAACAGTCATAATCCCAAACTCGAAAGTATGGAGTGGAGTTGCCCTTTAACTGAGCGTCTTCTTGAAAGGATTCAAGAAAAGGGGGGTTTCAAAACCGGTGCTTGGGAAAACAGATGCCTCCGCTCAGGCGGTACACGCCAATGTTCTCAGATCTATCGGTTGAGAAGTTCCACGGAAGAGCAGCGTTAAAAAAAATGAGACATTTACAATTCTCTGTAATGCGAAAGGAGAACACAGCACTTGACGAGGAGGGGAGGGTTTACATCTCCTTTCCCTCCAATTTAGCAGAAAATGTTAGCTATATTTCCTGCCCAATTTAGCGGGTTAAGTTTCCCCGCTAAATTTGGCGGGGAAATGTGACCCAACACAAATTTAGTGGGGAAAATGATGTCAGATGACTAACACCCATGAACAAATTCAGTTTCTCCGCTAGATTTAGCGGGAAAATTGACGTCACATGACCTCGACACCAATTCAATTTCCTGCTAAATTTAGCGAGGTAGTTACATAGACGGCGACACCGCTAAATGCGGAAACAGGTGCCTAAGAGCCTATAAGAACCACAATAAAATCACTTTTCACTGCAGGTAATGTGCATAGAACATTCCACCGGATCTGTCCATAGGGCGGGCTGATAGTGTGGCAGGCGCCACTGAGCAGACGCACCGCAAAAAGGCGTCTGGCGTTTTCAGAAGCTTGTCAACTGACCTAGATGTGAGAATGTTTGTACATGTATTGCTACCATTGCCCAGCGGGACCGGATATTGTTGGAGATCTGTGTTTGCTGAAAAATGTTTTTACAATGTTCACACTTTGGTCAATGCAAGCACATCTTTTTTTTTTCACCAATATCGACTAATAGCATTGCAGCAATCAATCCAGTTGACACCAAAATGTTAGAAGCAATAAAGAAATTAAAACCAGGCTGTTCTGTGTGTGCAGATTTTATATCTTGTTTCATTGTTAAGGGCGGCCAATTTGTTTGCCCCTTTATTCAAGCATGCATTTCATCTCCGAGAAATCATGATCTTCCATTGTGCTGGAAGAGGTCTCGTAGTACAAGTAAAGGACGCTGGTGACATGTATAGGGTAGAGATTCATTGCCTCGTTTCCTTACTGTATGCTCGTTTGAAAGTGTCTAGATAGTTATATACAGACATGGGTCTTTTTACTCCAGTTAAAAAGCGGCACTATTCAATGCAATTTTTTTTTCGAAGGTTGCTCAGGAAAAGCTATTTTATGTAAATTTGAATACACAGCACCATTTCTTGACTGAAGCAAGTTCATATAATTTGATTTATAACATGCTTTTGATAAGATCAACCACAAATTGGTTTTGTAAAAACCTTTATTGCATGGTGTAGCATTGCCACTTTTAAAAGTCGCTCACGAGGTGAGGACACTGGGAGAAACCTCAGTTCCCTGCCTCCAGCACGAGCTTCCTACCTTCGGCAATGCATAGAGGCCGGACATTTGTAAGACACTCCCAGCCATTCGCATTCCGTGAACGACGATATCTAACATATCGCTTGAATCGTGTCTGGGTGTTCAGTAGACCATCACATGTTTTTGTACCAACTTGAGTGTGCCTCGAGGACCAAATGTAAGACGAGAATGGCAGGGAGGAGCTTCCTACATTTGGCAATGCTTTGGCATCTTGCAAGCCTCAACAATCTACGCAGAGCGAAAGCATGTCAATAGATGCACATTCCAATGCAGCAAC